GGTCCTGGAGCTCTCTTTTTGACTACTGAGTTAATTAACCCCTTGGCATGAGTGGTTGGGAATTCGTGTTTCTACCTACTTGCTGTTGGAACAAAGGGGCTATTTAATTATAGTATGCAGATGAGTTTCAGGCTTCTAGCTTCCTGTCTGAAAATGTGAACTATCATATTAAGTTACCTATCAGCCTGATGTGTAGCATAATATGGAGCACTGCAGAGAAACTTACGCAGTGCGTGTAAGTTTATGTAATATAATGTAACTCTTCCAGCCTGGGCTTCCATTGCTGTGGCTGGAATATGAGGATTTGGAATACACACCTCCAACTCCTCCTGGGCTGCTGGGAGTTGAAGGCTGTGTCATATATACAAAAGGCAATTTTCCATAGATTTCCCTTCAGGTTTCTGATATGACCACTGACCTCAGTATCTCAAAATATTAATGGTTTCTGAGAACAGGCAAACATGAATTTTTTGCATTTGCTAGTATTTTTTTCCAATGGATAAAAAGAGTGCTAAATTTCTAATTTTTTTCTCATATACACCAAATTTTGTTTCATGAACACACTTCATTGTGTATTTAGGGGTATGTTAGATGACTGTAGACTCTATGTATTTAAGGGTAGGATTGACAGAACTGGGCAGCAACTGCACTGTGTTAAAGCCCCTGATGAGTTAATAGTTTCCTGCTACAGCATCCAGAGATCCTACACCGTTTTTTCCTAAACCTTCCACAGGATGGAAAGAATACGGATGAACCTGTCACCATGCACACACTTCAACAAGTTTTTGTAGCCACATGTACAGCTTCTGTGCTGCAGCATCTCTTCTTTCTCTCCTTCTTGTGTGTGAGCTGGGAAAATCTCCCAGCTTTTTTCGTGGGGTTGCACAACCGCTGTTGTCTTCCTGTAATGGTAACAGTGCCCTGGTAGGGAGAGGTCTTATATAGCTGCAGGAGTTAATTAAAACATTCACTCCAAAAGTAACATTTCTAGTGCTGTGGTTTCACAGGAGCTCTGCGCAAGCCTGTGTGCCCCCAGCGATACATTTTACTCTCATGAGTGGAGTGTCTCATTACTGGCGGCACAGAGGTGCCTGCCACTTGACTTGCGGAAAAAACAGGCTGTACCCGCTCCTTCAGGACTTTGTTATGTATTACAATGAAGATTAATCAGCCTGGTTTCAGATCATCAGGAAATGGCTCCTGATGGCTCCTGTGCTAAATATTACTGCCTTTGTATGGATTTGGGTTGTCTAATCCAAGATGGTGTCCTAATTAGTATAGGCATGTTTCCCCACTTACTTTTGACATCTCAAACCATTGATACTCATTCCACCACTTATTCTATTAAAAATTCTCTAATAGAAATCTAAATAGTCAATATCAAAGCAAATTCCCAGTCATCTTGTGTTGTAATTTCAGGCTCTAATCTTGAAATTGTTGCATAGTTCAGAGAAAGCAGAGTCCAGCTATAATACTGCTTTGCTTTGGTTTTTGTTCCTGTTTTGTCAGGTGCACAAAGAAGGCAGACTGTGGAACAGCTGATAAGGAGAACCACTGGCTGTGGAGTCCAAGTGGCACATGCATGACTATCGTTAGTGCAGACCCTTTAAATATGAGTCGCAGAGCCCCTGCTAAGGTATGTCAAGAAAATGCTTTCCCTGTGTGTTCTTAAAGGACATTGATGTGGCTACCAGGAAGATGAATATCTGCATTTCTTTATGCACAGTGGAGACTAGGAGTAGGATAGTGTTTTGAGTGTCTCAGTCTCTGGCATTTCTAACAGCGTTCTCTCTTGCCTGCTGTTTTTGCAGGTTGCAGTTCATGTTTCCTTCTAAGAAATGTTCCTTTTGACCTTCTCTGTAAACTGAAATGATGCACTAATATGGATGATAAAAACCTTAAACTTAGCTAAATATTATGAAAGTGTTGCATAATGTTGCATAACTCATAAAAAGTAAATTGATAGGGGAGATTTCATACTGCCCTTTCAGCTTGAGCATAAACTTAAGTGAGCAGCGAAGCCATAAGGTGTTGCTTTAAAATCAGCAGTGGATTTGCCTACACAGCAAAGTCTGTCTGAGTGTATGGAAAAGGTAAATTTAGCATGCAAAACAACTCTGTGACAACAAAACTGAGTGTTCAGGGTGTGACTAGGGTGTCACAGCTTGCTCTGTGATGACTCCAAATGGAGCATGCCAGTGCAGACTGAGTGCTTCCTGGGGGTGCTTGGCAAGTAAAATCAGTAAAAATGGCTTTTAATCCCTCTTAATCTGAAATGGAGAGACTTACATTCAACTCAGTTTAATTCCATTCCTAAATAATGTAAATAGCATTGTGTTAAGGCAATGTCCAATAAAAATGTTAGTAGAGTGTAACTAGTCCACTTAAAATCCACACCTTCTCTTAGTTCAGATCTCATCAACTTGTGTTGACAAGTCTCTGTTGCCTCGTATCAGCATCTGAGGCCAAAATACCTAAAACCCAAAACCAAACCCAACTTCAAACAAGCGTTTGCATGCTGCCTGTAGCATCACTAATGCCACTGTTCCCTCACGATTCCTTTTCTGACCAAAAAACATTGTAAGTCATAACATAATAGACCAGTGTCAGTGAGAAAAGGATGACTGTCATTTCTACTGGCAGTACAAAAATGGAAAAAGTTAAACCATGTAATTAACACACCTGAAGCATTACATCAAGAACAGCATCCAAAATTTAATTACAATTTTTTCCTCTTTCCTTGCTGAGTTTTCACATTTTATTTTGCTTTTAGTTTCTCACATGTACTCTGCATTGATAATTTCCTTGAGAAGGTTAAGATCTCACCTTCACTCAGAAATCTTTTTGCAGTCTTGAGGAAGCCACTTTTGTTTTCAGCCCTTTCAGGCTACAGCTTTTCCTGCCCATCCAGCCTTGGTTTCATTATTCACTTAGTAACAGCTAAGGTTAATGTAATTTTAATTAAGTTTGTCAGGATTTAAGTGTTAACCACTCTTCACTGTTGCTACACTGGATGCTGAGGACAAGAATAAAAGGCTTTGGGTGTGCCTGCACAGACATTTTTGTTCTGATCTAATTCATTGACGAGACAAGAGGTTTTGTACCATTCTAGTTTAGCATAGGTCCAGCCTGGAAAAGTTGGTAGAAGAAGAAAAGATTAGCAGATGGGAAGAGATAAAAATTGAAAAGGAGAATAATCTTCTGTGATACTAGCCAAAATATCACCACTGGACAAAAAAAAGAAAAAAAGAGCAATTTAAATTCTCTGGCCATAAATCTTACTGGGTCTTTGTTAATTTCAAATATTTTAGCCTTTTTAAATTTTGTTTCCAGGTGGAACTGACTGTAAGTCCCTTGCCAACTTTGACTGAGAGTGACAAGGTTTTGTGTACATTTGGTGAAACAACCCGTTATGCTCAATTAAAAGAAGGGGTTATTATCTGTGATCCGCCTGACATAATTCCTCCAACACCAAAAGGTCAAGGTAAAGAAATATTGCTACCCTCCATGTATAATAAGAGGAGAGAACATAGCCTGCTGCTTCTGATGTGATGCTCTTATATGAGCTGCTTACATTTTCTTTTCCTCTTCCAGTCCTTTTCCTGAAATAGTCTATTGCAGAACTTTATCCCTTCAAACTTTTTTTTTTTTTTTAAAAAAAAAAAGGTTTGCTCAGACTTTTTCCATTGCTGTATTTACAAGCTGTACCATTCCCAGTGTTTCTGCTAGGAACCTGAAACAGGAGCTTGGCAGAGGAGTGGACATGGAGCCAAAGAGGTTCTATTCTGTGTCCCAAATAAACAAAACCCAGCTACTCTAATCTTACCCTAATCACTCCAACTTCTGGGGCCGGAAGAGCACTTCAGATGTGAAGCTTTTGATCTCTGAAGTCTTAGTTTTGCTCTAGTCAGCTCTACCTCAGTGGCTTGTTTTCTGGTCCATGTCACAAGACTATCCTTTCTGTTACAAAGCCTTCTGCCTCTTCTACTACATGCCCTCCAGCTTCTGCAGTAGTAAGTCCAGTGGAAAAATATGTGATCATATAATTAAAGGCTGTATCATTGTTCTGAACCACTGATTATATGCTTAAGATCTGTTGCCAACCATAATTCTTGTGCTATTTCCTAGACAGTGCTTTATTCGTGCTTTAAGTTCATACGTCTTGATGCATAAAAACATGGAACAAAACTGGTTACACAGCACTGTTTATTATGTATCAAGTTTAAATAAAAAAAAAACGAAAAACACTAACAAAAAAACCAGGTGCTCTTGCAGCTTGCAGAGGTACCCCTGAGGATAACCCTTTTGTATGAACGAACTATCAGAGCGGTACTTGGAAACACTCTTTAAGATAAGTTTAAATTCTCTTAAGGTTAAAACAAGTCAAAATCCAAGTTCAGTTGCAGGAAGAGTAATGATGTTAAAATCTCACTGTTAAGTTTTAAACTAGCTGGGGTGTATCATGGTATCAGATTATGCTAAGTGTTAAAACAGCATTCTGTTGTTTAGGGACAATTCACATTCCCTAAATATTTTGTCAAGCAGGACATAAAGCAATTGGCTTTGATAAACGTGACATCTTGATGTTTTTCAGCATTAAATGTGAGAGTAGAAGCCTGTCAGGGATGGCATTAGAGTAACCAAGTAATCTAGAAATAATATGCCCCTCTGAATCAGTTGCACGGGGATCCATCTGAAAGGATGTTCAAAAGTAATAGTTGAATGCTCAGAAGCTTGGCAGATGCTTCAGCAGAAGGCAGGCAGTTATGAGCCCAGGCAGTTGTTCCTGGCAGCATGTGTGACAAAAAGTCCAGAGCCGTCCCCTTATTGTTAAGAAGCTCTATTGAGTTTGGAAGAGTCTGGGTTACTTTAGTTGTGGTTGGTTCCAAAGGGAATAGGACATTTCTAGAGAGGAAAGATGCTTTTTCACAGTCCTGTTGTTAGGAAATCCCCTGGCATTCCTACCAGTCTGAAGTATTCAAGGGGACCCAGTGCAGGCAAAGGTGACTTCCAGCCAAGCAGCTGATGGTCTTCCAAGAACCTGTTCAACAAAAGCAGAGTTTGAAATTGCCCAATAGCTTGTGAAATAGCTTGTCACAAGGGCTTAATGATTTCTCCAAAAGGTATTTCAAACAGCTTCACTGAGGAAAGCACCCGTTTCTGAAGATAAATGTTCCACTCTTAGGTCAGTAATGATCCAGACGAGGAGTACATTTGTGGAGAAATTACGTACAGCAAACTGAAGTTCACAAGTGCCTGTGGTAACTTAGCATTGCAGGCACTGTTGGGCATTAACCACAAAGATCACTTGCTTTAATTCACATGATGATGACAGTTTTAATCCACAAATGAAACAAGTAATTTTAAATGCAGACATATTCATATTTAAGAAAATGTTTTATTTAAAATTATTCTTCTAGTGCCAGTTTTCATCTGCATTCAATTATCTCCTTATTCAGTTTTCCTTATTCTTCTAAACACTTTAAAATTCTAGCATGGTGATAGCAGCACTGAGAAAAAAACTCCCGTAAAACAAAGCTATTCTGTAATTTTGCTTTTCTTCATCCCATCTCTACTTTTCTTTTGACAACCGTGTGCTGAAAAATTTGTAAAGCTTAAAAAGACAAAACAGAGCTTACAAATCTAAAGTATAACAGGTCATGAGATCCAGATTGTCAACAGTATAGTTAAATATTTGCTTATTTCCTGTAATATAATAATAGTATCATTGTATCATTCAGCTAAAGAGCTGAAGAATTCAACAACCACTTAGATATTTTTTTTTCTTTTGTGATAGATCATGTTTCAGTTCCAGTTCAGTTAACCTTTGCAAAGAACAAGATATTTTTTGCGTCACATACTTACCCTTTTTATGACTGTGAAGAAGCAATGAATCTTTTTGAAAATCAGCCGTAAGTATTTCAGCTTCTTAACTTAGATGTTTAGGTCCTGTAGCATGGTGTTTCAGGTAGCTGGCAGCTGAGTTACTCAGTCATTTCCTATTTAAGCCTTTGGCACTCTCAAAATTTGTCAGTGTCCAAATCTTTTTTTCTTACATTTTAATGGAGTTGGAAAAATGGTTGAAGGGCACCAGGTGAGCTGCTAACATAAACCATGTGGAATGGGAATATTCATGGCATGTATAATTAAAGACCAGTTAATTGGAGTGCCATTGCAGGTGAGCTCTGCGGCCATCTGCTCGCCTACTTGTTCCCTCAAACATTATGTTGGTGCTTTGGGTTGCAGTGCATTCGAACAGGACAATCAAAGCTGCCTCTGCCCTCATCATCTGCCCTGCTCAAGATGTTGCTGCCTCAGAGCAGGCACAGCCAACCCAAACCCCACTTTGTTCATCCTTATGTATGAAGGTTGATCAACATCACTTTATAGAATCATGGAATGGTTTGGGTTGGAAAGGACCTTTAACAGTCATCTAGTCCAATCCCCCTGGGGTGAACAGGGACATCTTCAACCAGCTCAGGTTGCTCAGAGCCCCATCCACCCTGACCTTGAATGTTTCCAGGGATGGGGCACCTACCACCTCTCTGGGCAACCTGTGCCAGTGTTTCATCACCCTCATTGTAAAATATTTCTTCCTTATATCCCGTCTTAAATGTGTCCTCTTTTAGTTCAAAACCATTACCCCTTGTCCTACTGCAACAGGCCCTGCTAGAAAGTTTGTGCCCATCTTTCCTATAGACCCGCTTTAAGTATTGAAAGGAATTTCCAGTCCTCTCAGACTTCATCTCAAAGTTTTTGTGAGATGGTGTGGATTTCTGATCCTTGCTCAAATATTTAAGGGAGAAAATAGCTTTTTAGGGTTCTTGAAGTGTTCTTGCTACAAAGTTTTCAGCTTAGTATATTAAGGACACTGTAACATATTGATCTACCCTCCATGAATAAAATGGAATTTCATTTACTTTTTCTGTCAGTGGGGGAAAAAGCCTGACAGTTTGTCATGACTATCATGTTATATTTGTAGATGCTATTCCTGTGCAAGCAATAGATGGAATTGCCAGTGGGACTGGAAGAGACATATCTGTGAAGAGTCCTCTTCAGTACAGGATGTAATTAAACAAAATATGGTAATGTTTAAAAATAAGATTATTAGGTTTTTATTAGAACACTTCAATATTTTCTTTGCTTTTTCTCTCATATCAATTGATTGAGTTAAGGATTTAAAGGTGATTCTAAAGTTAACTCCAGAAGTGTAATTTTTTTTTTTACTATTTTTTTTAGTGACAGTGCGGGGGTGGAAATTCAAGGGTGTGATTGAGGAGGGGCAGTGAGACTGAATAAATCCTGAAAGGATATTTTTGTTCCTTTTACTATTTTGCTTCAATGGGAGGAACAAGATTTCAAGGCTGGGAAAGATAATCACCTACAGCTTTGACATATGCTGCAGTCATTTTTAGCATGTCTAATTTGAAAGGGTGTAATCAAATCTGTCACTGTATTTTAAGCATGGAGTTCTTCAGAACAATCATTCCATTGTCAGAAGGCCATTGGAGCTTGTTGTGATAAGAGTTTTTAATTGGAATAACGTATAAAATGTTTCCATCCCCAGGAAGAAGAATGCCCACAGTTTCTAAACCCTAACCCTCCAATAATACCTATGGAGTACCGAACAGCGGTGTATTTTGAGGGAAGACATCTAGCTTATTATCGGGTAAGCAGGTTAATTCAAAGCTAACTGCTATTTGAATTCCACTTAAAGTGCAGCCACACCCCTAAACTAGAGCATTAGTTTGTGTTCCTTGGAGATCCTGCTCGTAATAGTTTTTAAAGGAAAAGATCTACACGTTCAAGTTCTATATAATATTAGTTACTGTGGTAAAGTCATCACCAAGACAAAATCAAAGCCAGATAAAATATTTTAACTACCAGATATGGGGTGTTTTTTTAAAGAATATAAGTTGAACTTATTGAGACACTTGACAATTATTTATCATCTAATGAAATGAGAAGAGATTTAGGAATTGTGAATGTTTCATATTTTTTCTAATTCAACACTCACTTTTTTTTATTGTTCTAGAATGACATCAATCAGTGTGCTTAATTCAGTTTTCAAACATCAAACAAAAAAAAATGCACTCAGAAATTAAATATTTCTTAGTTTGGATAAAACAATCTTTTGCTTTTTCTCTGTATGTGTGTGACCATCAAACCAGAAGATCGAGTATTTTCTCAACTGTAACAAAGGCTTCTCTTTCTCAGCACTTGATTCCAAAAAGTGAATTGCAAAGCTTCTAAGAAGCCAGAGTTTGACTCCAAGCTTTTAATTGTTTTATAACCTAGACAATGCATGTAATGCTATTGTTAGATTGCTAAAAACAAAGCTTAAAAAACACTTCATAGTTCTTAGCTTCTATTGTTTGTTTCTATGTTGTCTTTGTGTAAATGTGAATTGATGATAGATACGGTGGAGATGATTGCACCAGTTGCTTTAACTACTAGCCATCTATCAAGGGAAAGAAGGCTCTTCTTTTTTGAGGGTGGTTTGGTTTGTTTTGGGGTTTTTTTTCTTTGCCAAGTTGAGGTACTGTATAGCTTACAAAGTCCCTCTGTCATCTCTGCTACACCTGCCAAGGAATGGAAAAGGGTAAACAGGTCTGGAGATTAACAATGGAAAAAGGGTAAAAAGCAGCCCGTAAGCACTACAGTCATCCGTATATTACTACTCTATACATATATCAAGACCATGCTGTACAAATATATGTTCAAAAAGAAACATTTTTGTTTGGAGACCTTAAATGTTTGTAAACAAAGAAAAGTAATTTGGTGAATTTAGTCTGTCCTCTGATATGTCAGGACTGGCCCCTGGTAGGATGTCTGGTGGTGTGCAAGATGTGGCACACACCACTTGTCTTAAAGGCCACAGCTCTCTGCTAAAAATGGAGAAGTATTCCAGAGAATTTACTCACATTTCTTTTGTTTAGCATTGTAAAGAGCTGTTTTTCTGCACAAGAGAAAAATCTTTCCCTGCACTCTTGATATCAAAAGAGGAAGAGCCCATTCTTTCCCGAGGACAACTTCAGTGCAGATTCATAATCTAGATGTGCTGAATTTGACTTGTAGAGGACCCTTTTCCTCCAAGGACAAGAAACAGCAGCAGGAACCCCGAAAGTCCTTCATCTAGTTTATCATTCTGTGAATAAGCATTTTAATCTTTCTGGACTACTAGTAGAGAAAAGCTTCTTCCCTCTTTTTTTTTTTTTTTTTCTTCTGTGAGGTATCAATTACGTTTAACAAAGGCAGACACATCCTGGGGATTGAATGCTTTGTCATGGCTAGCAGTGTTTAACAGTTTGCCTACAGACCAGACCTAGTGTGCATTTATTTAACTTGGAACTGGGAAGGCTTACGTATAATTCAAGTCTCTGTAAGAAGTAAGATGAATGCATAGGCCCTAGGCTGGGAAGATGCTGGAGAGCAATGAATATCAAATTATGTCAGAATAATTTTTCTTAGATGAGGGTCATGTGGGAATGTCATCTTTGTCATGGGAGCAACCATATCCTGGTACAGAGGTACATTTTAAAGCCAAAATAATAATGCCTTCAGTGCCGGGATTTGAATAGGCGTATGCAGTAACTACAGCTGTATACTCAGACCTCTAAGTATATGTGAAAAAAGACAAATAAGGCATGAAATAGTTGTAATCATACAGGCACTCATGCCTGTGGGGTCATGCTATCTGAAGCAGTAACTTTGGTCGCTGAAAGTTCATTTGAGTAAGAGCGTAACTTACACTCAGGCTTTGGTAAACATCTCATAGAGCACAGGGTGGCTCAGGAGAAACCATGGATGGATATTTTGTAGGGGTTGGCCTGCAGCCCAAATGCAAAATAGCATGTGGCTTCTCGAGTGGAACGATTTTGCCACAGGATATGCTGGGCATTACGGTGTCTTTGGAGGTAGCAGTCATGCAGATCTTTATTGTTTAGGACATTGGTATATATGCGTTTTCCTCCTGTTTTCCTTGCTTAAATTATTGTTTAGAAAAAGCAAAAATGAATGTTCTGTTGTTGCTTTGAACTATTAGTTGTATTATCTTGGTTTAATCTGTGCTTTGCTTAAAAGGGTGATGCACAACCTGCCTTACCCTGGGTGACTAAGTACGCTAGCCAGCGTTATGCATATAAGCATCTCTGTTTCCAGGTGGAGATTAGCAGTGAAGATTTGGGCTTACTCAGTTAGTAGGAGAGGTGGATGGCTTCTAAAACTACTATTGCAGAACTGAGGGGGGAACAGTAAGCTCACACATTTTGTATGCACCTCTTAACTTGTGAACATTTATAGTACAATTTATAGATCTCCTCTTCCACTGGAGGGAAATGGACTAAATGAAGAGAAACTGTTGACTGTTTTTCCGCCCTTCCTTCCTCTGAAAAAAATTAAGTAGGAAGGAGAAGTAAATCCAAGCTGTTGTAATTCTCTTGGGAAGAGCCTCATCCAGGACAAGTGGTTGAGAGGAAAGTTTAGTACTGGTTGGTCATATTGTGTGCAACTTCTGAGAGGCATTCTCCAGCTGAGTTCTTGAAAGATTGTCACAGTGGAAGAGACAGATGTACCAGCATCAAGATAAACTTATTAACCCTCTGAAGAGTTTCATTAAAAGTAATTTCCCATTTGGATTTGTCTTTGTTGTGTGTGTCTGATGTGTAACCCACTTCCCAGTGTTTGCTACATGTCTCTTCTTGCACCCAGACTGCTGAGTGTGAGCTCTGTGGCCTTCTGCTCAAGATCCTGGTATAGCAACTCCTGATTTCAGTTTATTCCAGGTGGCAGCTGTCATGCACACTGAAGCTCCCCTCCTCTCCCAGCACCTTCTGTCAGGCATGTAGGAAAAGCCTTATGCAGCAGCAGCGGAATCTGAACAC